CAGTATATAGAGAAGCGTAGAATTGCTTGATCCTTTTATTGGAGGTCTGGGCCTCTATTTATACATAAAAGATTGGCTGAATTATGGTAGGACTCGCATTGCTTGTCCTCCAATTCTTTCCCTACAAAAATTCTTTACAAATAGAGCTCATTCCTTTGTATAATTTTCCTCGTGCAGTAGTTTCTTACTTTGCTGTATCCTTCTTCTAATAGGACTAATTTCCTTTCAATGGATTTGAGCTGTAAATAACCTGATCCATGTGACATTGCTAACGGGCTGGATCTCTTGTTCCGAGCTTGAGCAATGCTACAGAGATCAATTAGCTGTGACTTTAGGCTAGTGTCTTATGATTTTTGGCTGTCAACGAGCTTGGACTAGGCTTTGAGCAGGATGGGCCTCTGACATTTGTGACGGGTATTTATATTGCGATGACGTGTACAGTTCTCATTGGAGGGAGATTTTTCCCTCCACACTTTGCCCCCAATTCCCTCTTTAATTGGATTGCGGCTTCTATTAAAAAGGGAATTGAAGTTGCACGGTTGTCTATTTTGCAAAAAGACGGTTCGAAGATCGCCCATTGCCATTCTTCCTTAAGAGATTCCATAAGGGTTACTTTTGCTCTCATTACGTTTCTTGCGTTCTTCATTCCGTCGTCTTATCAGGTTAGTTCTTCATCTTTTTCTCTTCGATCTTGCATTATGAGTACTTCGACTATTGCTGAGCGTATAGAGATCGTAAATTCTGAGTCCACTCCCTCGTCTTCCCTTATCTCATTAGGGTTCCCCCACCTAGGGTTTCGAACTTTCCTAAACCTGTAAATGACTCGGCTAATCAGCCGGGTGCTTCCCCAATCCAGGCTGAAACATCTACCTCTGGGTCAGAAAATATTCTTACTAAGGAAGAACGAAATGCAATTTTATCTATTCGTCGCATCCCGCTCTCCATTGAATCCGTAATGGAAGAATTCGAGATTCCCGAGGGGGTAATAATTGCAGAATACCCCAAAGGCGCTGATTTTTACACCGGCGAGGGCGTCGGAGAAGACGAGTTGCTCCTCTCTGTTGGGCATCTCAACGCTCTTAGGTTCCCCCTTCATCCTTTCTATCATTTAGTCTTCAACAAATTGGGGATTGCACCCCTGCAAGTAAACCCTAACTTCCTTCGAGTAATCTCAGCATTCCTCATTCGCCAGTGGCAGGAGAGTCTTGACCTGACTTTGGCTGATTTGCTGATTACTTATTATATTTCTAAGCATGGGACCGAACCTTGTCGTTTCTTTTTCACTTCCCCCTTGCACCAAAGGATATGTATAGACCTCCCTACTTCTGAGAAGAAGTGGAAAGAGAGGATGATAATCGTTAAAGGGAGATGGGCCGTGCCCCAATCGAGCAAACTCCCTATCCCTCGCAAGTTCGGGAAGTTAGGTATAGAACATCCCCCCTTTCTTCATGAAGATTGTTCTAGCTGTTTCCCATGTCGAGTCTTATTCTTTCGATATATTTACGAGTTTCTTGGTGTTTTTTCAATGACATTTCCTTCTTCGACTGCCAAGAAGAGGCTTTCCTTCCTAGAAGGGCAGGTTTGGAACGACCCTCCCTCGGTCGAGAGCTTACTTACTTCTGCGAGTCTTAAAGCAGTTGCTTCCAGAGCTGTAACCACTGATCTCATGGACCTCTAACTTCCATCATTCGACAGCTTCCCCATGACTGAGGAAGAAAAACAGAGGGCTGCAGCCTTGAAGAGGAAAGCTGCAGAGAATGCCCTGCTGACTATATTGCATACAAACGAGCAAGAGAAGGAGGTTGACGAAGTCCCTTTGAACAAAAGGGCAAGGCTGAACCCTTCTTTAACCACGAAACCCAAGGGTGCTTCTAACCCAACAAGCAAAGGGAAGAAAGCCAAGGAGATTAACCCTGAGGATGAAGTCAGCGCCTATGTCCTTACCGAGGCTAGGGCACCTTGGACTCCTTCTTTCTTGAGGGTTGATAAGTCCATCCTCCACGTTGGTGATTCTATGATCACTGACCCATCTACAGCATTGGCCGTTGCTCGGGGAATGTGTCTCCCCAAAGATGAAGAAATTATCGGCAGAATGAGGTTGGACCAGCTACTCCCATCTGCCCCTATTCGAGCCATAGAGGTTTACTCCTTTCTTCATTTCCATTATCATAATTGTCTTACAAATTTTCTTACATTGTTATTATCTCATGATGCAGGGCTTGTATCATACTATGGCCCTCAGTGCTACTGCTGAGGCTCAGTCTCTTTCTCTTAAGAAGTTGGAGAAAGACCTCAGCAATTCTAAGAAGAAGGTATCCCATGCCATTGCCAATGCACAAATTGCATATGAGGCTCGGGATGTTTACAAGAAGCGTCTGGCTGCTTCTGATGCAAAAGTTGAGTCGCTTGAGGCTGAAGTCCAGCGTCTAAATGATGCCCTTAGCACCTGCATCACTGCCGGGAGGCAGATGCAAGGTCGTTACTCCAGTCTGGTGCGCTTGTCAAGTGCAAAAGCTTACCAGTCTGGCTTCAATCAAGGCTCGGGCCCCAAAACAATGGATCCTGATGCCTTTGATGTGAACATGGGGGTGTTCTTCCCTTATAATGAGGGTCCGAAGGCTCAGGAGGCTGAGGTGCTTTTTACTGAAATGGTGAAGGCTCACCCGGAAGATCCTCCAAGCTCATCAACTCCTGTAACTCCTGGTCCTTCAATTCCTCCACCTGCAAGTCTAGCTGTAGCAGATGCTTTCGAATCTGCCCCGTTTGATCCGAAGAGGAAGTAGGATCAAGCAAAAAAAATTTCCTTTTCCTTGTAAAGAAACAATTTTGAGAATGATAAATTTGAATGATATAACCTTGTTTCTTAAGATGTGTTTCTTTTATTCTGTTTCGACTGAGTATGCTTGTATGCTTCTGATATTGCACACACTATGTTGATAGATTTTTTTTTTTTTTTTTTTGGAGAAGATACTCTACCTGAAGGTTCCTTATTTGTTTTAGTCCGAAGCAAAATAAATAAGAGGTTTTCCGAACTGGACACTCAGTGTCCAAGGCGAATGGATTACTCCCTGGCGCTGAGCCTGAGGGACTCCCTTAAAAGGTTCTCCGAGTCGGACACTTAGGGTCCGAGGCGAGATTTTGCCGAGCCGGACGCTTAGGGTCCGAGGCGAATGAACTACTCCCCGGCGCTGAGCTTGAGGGAGGTTGTGTCGAGCCGGACATTTAGGGTCTGAGGCGAGATTTTGCCGAGCCGGACACTTAGGGTCTGAGGCGAGGTTTTTGCCGAGCCGGACACTTAGGGTCCGAGACGAGATTTTGCCGAGCCGGACACTTAGGGTCCGAGGCGAATGAATTACTCCCCGGCGCTGAGCCTAAGGGAGGTTGTGCCGAGCCAGACACTTAGGGTCCGAGGCGAGGTTTTTGCCGAGCCGGACACTTAGGGTCCGAGGCGAGATTTTGCCGAGCCGGACACTTAGGGTCCAAGGCGAATGAATTACTCCCCGGCGCTGAGCCTGAGGGAGGTTGTGCTGAGCCAGACACTTAGGGTCCGAGGCGAGGTTTCCATATATATATTCTTCTCTTCGTCGTTTTTTTTTTTTTTTAAACAACTTGCCGAAGACTAAAAAATGATAGGAGGCCAAGAGAGCGAGTAACAATGGCTGGGAAGTTTCCTATTTGTTTAATTTGGAGACTTTCCTCCATTGATACTCCCTTCTTGGCAACCATATGTAATGGACTACGCATATATTAACCACATTTCCTTTTTATTTTTATCCGATGTGGGACAAAGAGTTTTAACCATAGGTCAAAATGCATGCTTTTTAATAACTTGCTTCCAACATTGCTTTGCATAAAAGCATAAAATTGCATAATCATAATGTAGTATGAAAATTTCTTTGCATAAAATTTGAAAATTTCAAATTTCTTTCTTTGCATAAAAATTTTCAAAATTTTTTTCCTTTGCATAAAAATTGCTTTCTTTGCATAAAAATTGCTAATGCATAATGTGACGCAAAATTGCATAATCATAGAATGGTGGTTTGGCCCCCATTTTTATGGAAAGAAACAAATAGAAGCGAAATAAAGAAAAGCATGGCTGACTGTGGGCTTACGCAGCCTTATTTGTGAAGAATTCTTAATAAAATTGACAAACTTATCTAATGGAAATACCATTTAAGGTGTATTGCATTCCAAGGACGCGCAATGGGACGTCCGTCAGTTTCGGCCAAACGATATGCTCTCTTCCCCACTACTTCGGTAATCCTATAGGGTCCGGTCCAATTAGGTTCCAATTTCTTTACATGAGCTGTCTCTTGCTTCAGAACCCAATCGCCTACCGCAAAGCTCCGGAATCTAACACGTTTGTTATAATTGTTGCGCAGCTGCTGCTGATATGAAGCAAGCCTAATTGCTGCAGCATCCCTTTTTTCATCGAGGAGGTCGAGACTATGTTCGAGCTGCTGACTATTGTTTCCTTCAAGCAACAAGGATGTCCGAAGGGTTGGAATCGCCGCTTCGGTTGGAATCACTGCTTCGTATCCATAAGCCATGGCAAAGGGACTCTCCCCTGTGGGCCACCGTGGTATGGTTCGGTACGCCCAAAGCAGCTGAGGGAGATTCTCGTACCATTTCGTTTTGAGTTTCTCCAATTTCTTCTTTAAACAACTGAAAATGGTCCGATTAGTTATTTCAGCCTGTCCATTCCCTTGTGGATGACTAACTGCAGCTAATTTTTGTATAATTTCATGCTCAGCGAAGAATTTTCTTGTACTTTTATTGTCGAGGTTCTTACCATTGTCCATTATAATGACTTTTGGGACCCCAAACCGGCAAATGATGTTGTTCTAAAGGAAAGTTTTTACCTGCTCACGGGTCACACTTGAGTAGGCCTCGGCTTCTACCCATTTAGTGAAATAATCTGTAGCCAGTAGCACGTACTCCTTTTGTTCCACAGTCTTGGGTAACGGGCCCACTATATCAATCCCCTATTGTGCGAATGGTCATGGATTTGCCATTGCATGCAAATATTCGGCACGTTGATGCTTCATGGGACCGTGACGTTGACATTTGTCATACCTCCGAGTATACTCTTCTGCATTCTGGGCCAAGTACGGCCAGAAGTAACCTTGAGTCAGGACTTTATGCGCAAGGGATCTACCCCCAGAATGGTTGCCACAATCTCCGTCATGGATTTGTTTCAACACCACAAGAGCCTCAGTAGGGCTTAAACATTTCAGGTAAGGACCTGAAACTGACTTTCGGTATAACTGATTGTTAACGATGGCATATTTAGCTGTGGTGAGACGGAGCTTCGGTGCTTCGAACTTCTGGTTTGGAAGAACTCCATGCTTGAGGTAGGCTTCCAATGGATCAATCCAGTATGTTTCTCGAGGAACAACTGGAATCACTATTATTTCCTGCGGAAGATTAATGCTGGGCTCGTCCAGGACGTCAATTGGCACTATCCGAGTCAGATCTTCATTTGAGGATGACGTTGATATGGCCAATTGATCTGTTTTGGCATTCTCAACACAAGGTACCTGATAGAATTCGATCTGATCGAATCCCCGTGCAACGTTCTCTACAGCTTCTTTATATGCTTTCATTCTTTCCTCTTTGGGATAGTACTGACCTGTCACTTGATTTATAACAAGCTGTAAGTCACTAAAAACCTTTAAGCAACGTACCTGGAGGCTGCTGGCCAATCGAAGACCAGCAAGTAACGCCTCATACTCGGCCTTATTGTTCGTAGCCGGGAACTTCAAACAGATAGATTGCTGCAACTTGGTGCCTTCGGGTGTTGACATTACAACTCCTACCCCTGCACTTACTTGATTCGAGGAGCCATCGACTCGAAGTTCCCACTGTGGTTCAGGGTGTACCGGCTCTTCGGGAGTGTCTTCATATTCGAGAAGAAAGTCTGCTACAACCTGTCCTTTATGCGACACCTTTGGCTCATAAGTTATGTCGAAGGAATTAAGCTCGATAGCTCACTTGGTAATTCTCCCAGATAGATCGGGCTTAGAGAGTATACCCCGTATAGGATAGTTGGTGAGTACCACAATGCTATGAGATTCAAAATAATGCCGAAGCTTCCTCTTGGCATAGACCAAGGCTAAGATAACTCTTTCTGTTTTACTATATCGTGTCTCCGCATCTGTCATGGTCTTACTTGTGTAAAAGACTGGATATTGCCTCTTTCCTTCCTTTCTAATCAATGCTGCACTTCTCGCTATATTAGAAATTGCCAAATACATAATAAGAACCTCCCCGGGTTTTGGAGCGGATAGAATTGGTGGTTCGGCCATGTAACCTTTCAACTGACTGAGGGCCTCCTGCTGCTGAGGTCCCCATGTATCTTTATTCTTAGATCGTATAGCATCGAAGAATGGTTTGCACTTATCTGACAATCGGGATATAAACCGGCTGAGGGCTGCGATCCGACTGGTAAGAACCTGCACGTCCCTGCGATTTTTTGGTTCTTGATTCTGGTGCATAGGTGCTGGTAAATTCTCAATCTCATAAACTTTGAAACACCACAACAGGCACCTACCTACAATACCATGGCCTCATCTTTTTTGGTCGAAGCCCTCTATACCCAAGTTCTCCTTTACCTTTTGGGTAGCAATCCAGCATAGACTCCCAACCTTTAATAGGAGATGTACAGCACACGTCAATGCCACCATGTGCAGCCTTTGCAACACTGAATTAGAGTCCCATGACCACCTGTTCTTCCGGTGTTCATTCATCAAACCATTATGGTCATTTCTACAAACAAGATACGGGTTCCACATCCAACCATCCTCTTGGGCTGAACTCATTACTTGGGCATCCTTCTATTAGAGAGGCACCTCTAACTATCACAACAACTGCATGTCCAAATTGAGCCTGGCTTTCTTGGTATATCACACTTGGAATGAACGCAACAGTAGGATCTTCAAAAGGAAATTTCTTTCTGCAAATTCGGTTCTTCACCACACTTTGGAAGCAATTAGATCCAAACTGTTAGTATCTTCGATCTCTGACACCATCAACACCAGAAAAATCGCAACACAATGGAACATTCCTGAGTCACACATCCATCCACCGGCGGAACCACCAGACCCTCATGTTTAGCACTGCACTTAAGGTTGCAGTTGTTGGAGATTTGTCCATGTTTACCGGAATGGATGACTAGTAACGATCTTGTAATTTGTTTGACTTGTATCTTTAGGCCTGGGCCGGTTATGAGTTGGTGCTGTAACTTGGTTAGCATTGGGCTAACTTGTGGGTTGTAACTTTCTTATATATATATATATATATGTACTACTTGATCTTTACACAAAAAAAAATAAATAAATAAATAAATAAATAAATAAATAAATCGACAATAGATGACTCTACGTGGCTTCCTATTCGTGGGCCATTGGAAAACCAAAAGATATGAACTATGTAATTGTTCATCTCCGCAACAGAACCTCAACCTGGTTTCAAGGGAACAGGTGCAAGAATTCTAAAATAGCTCACCTCCACTGATTCCATATCGTTCGACACCCGAGCTCTATTGATTTCCACTGACACACCGATTTTGCGAAGTAGGTGGCGAAGCCTGAGGTGTTCTAAACCGCTATGGATTGGAGTATTGGGCAGCACACGGACAAATACAAATGTATAAAAGTTTTTCAAGTTCGGTTTGTTAGCAAATCGCCGCAGGTTTAAATATCCATAGCTAACTCGTTAGTTAATCACATCAAAACGGACTAAATTAGAGAAAATTAAGGTTTTGAAGGGGCAAAACAAATTGAAAATTAGCTATTTAAGTTTGAGTGGTACTTAAAGACTCAAAAATATTTTAAAATCAAAATCAGCGAATTCTTGGATCCGATAGAAAAAATTGGGTTTGTCCGTAGAGATGATTATATGGGCTACAAATTTAGGATTGCAGAGATTTGGGTTTTGCAAGTGATTTTATGAAATTTGTTGATAGATTCATGCGAGTGAAAGAAAGAGGTGGCGCAGAGGAGAGGGGTGACACATGTTGAGTAGGTTTTTTATTGGTTAAAACTAGTAGTTCAAAATATCATTTTCCATTTACTCATTGTTGAAAAGAGTCATGACCTTTTCTTGATTAATCACACAAGATTGAAACAGTTTTTAAGATATGTAAAAGTTAAATGAATCTCTTATTCAAATTATTCCAAAAAGAGATTTTTCTAGATATAACTCTTGAGCCACGGTAAAATCGATATTTTCACCCTACAAGGAAGGAGAATAATTCAGCAGTTTTTAGTTTGTGGGAAATTGTATTTGACAAACTTTAAAACAAGATTAATTATTTCCAACAGTAAAATAATATAGTAGTTTAAAAAAAAAAAATAATGTAGAGATCAAAAAGCTGTTGAATTTATTTCATCATCTCAACATCGATTCATGGGGAGAGGCATATGATTGGTTAGTATCAGGGCTGGCTCGATACGTATTGAGGCCGGCTCGATACGTATTGAGGCCTAAGACAAGAAAATTTTATTTTTTATTTTTTATTTTAGTACATTAACATAAATAATACTGTATTAATTAAGTATATTCACTATTGAATGCTTATTGAAATGAGTTAAAAATATATATATATATATATAATAAAAAGTTAAAAGATTTTAGAAAGAAAAAAAAAAAAAAAGTGGGAAAAGAAACAGAAGTCAATCATATAATAACTTTTAGTTCAATTCAAAAAAAAAAAAAAGAAAAAAAAAGAGAGAGATTGGAGAGCAAGCTAACTTCGGATCAATATCAAAATTATATTGAAGAAAAGGACAAAGAAAAGCATGCTTTTGAAAAGAAATTAGCGGCTTTTAAAGAACCTTCTTTTATCAATCACAATTCTAAGGTACAGTAATGGGAGTCTTCCTTGTAGAAGAAATATATATATATATATATAGAGAGAGAGAGAGAGAGAGCGCGAGAGAGAGGAGGAGATTGGAGAGCAAAGCTGAACCTTGGAATTTGGATCAATACATATAACCTTTCTGGTACCCTAAATGGAGGGTAAGGGTCCAAAGAGAGAACTAGGAGGAGATCAAGAAGACTCAGTAATATTACCAGGTAAGTAGTATTCTATTTTTTCCCACAATAATTAACATGTTCTAGTCTTTGAATAAATTTAATTAATTAATGACGTTTGATTGTTTTAATTCTTGATATTGAGTAACTTTGTCACGTTTGATTGTTTTAATTCTTGATGTTGAGTTGCGGATTTGAGAAACCCTAGTAACTTTTCACAATTTAGGTTGGTCAATTTTGGGCACTAAGTAGTAAGATTTTTAACTCTATAATGTGTTTTGAGGAATGTGGAATGAAATCCCATCATTCCAAACGATTTTGAACGGGTTTAAGGGATGAACTGTGAGCCTAAATTTGCTGGTCGGTTCATGAGATGCTGTTATAGTTCTGACTTATTAGAAACATGAGTTAGGTGGGATTTAGATTTTTTTAGTTGTTTAATTATTTTGAGAAGTGCCTCTTTTAGGTACAAAAGCCCATAAGCTCCTACATCATCTGAATAGGTAAAATATATTATTATGTACATACATTAATAATTTTTAAATCATTTTATCTATATAATCATTAATAAAATTATTAACTTGTAGCTTAAGTCTAATGTTTGTATTTCTATTTTCTTAAAATTTATTTAATTTTTTAGATTAATTATTAATATATTTTAAATTGCATTAAATTTTACTCCTTTTTTTAAAAAATATAATTACAAAATCACCTCTCTTCTCTTAAAGATATCTAGTTATGTGACTTATGTCCTATCAAAAAATTAAATATTTAAATTTAAGGAGACTTCAAAGTGTAATGTTTGTGATTCGAAAAATAATATTTGTACCAAGTCAGTAGAGAGGCTTGTGCTTTCCATCATGTATGTGGTTAAATTATAAAATTATCATTTTAACCTTCAATTATTTTAATAAATCAAAGTATCATTTATACATATACATATAAATATATGTATAAATCTAAAAAAAACCCAAATTATTCCATGCTTTCTTTCTCCCCGCCGATCATGGAGACCCATAAGACCCATATTGTCTTAGTTTAATAAAAACCTAAATCACAGACAACTATGGCAGCCCCTCTCTCTCTGCACCCACCATCGCAACCACAACCACCATCCCTCTCATCTCCGTTCTTCCTCTCTCCGTTCTCTCTCCTCTCCACCCAACGTCGCTGCCACCACCACTGTCACAGCCACCTCCACCATCTATATCCTCTCTCTCTCCCCTCTCCACCTCATCTTCTCCGCCCACTGCCACCATCGCCATCTGGCTCGTGTTGAGGAAGTGTTCATCGCCGCTGCGGATGACGGAGGAGGCGGCGAGTGTCTGGTGGCGCTCACGGTTGTTCTTGGGGTTTAAGATCGGGAAAGTGATTCAAAGTCAGGTGGGTTGGGGTAGAATTGGAGAAGAAGATGAACGAGTTGGATTGAGTAGGAGCGAGTTGAGTGGGTCTGAGAGCGAGTTGAATTGGATGGGAGCGAGTTGATTGAGTCGGGGAGGGTGAGTTGATTGAGTCGGTTGGCCGTTTTGCTTAGCACCCGGCAAAGCCATTCACAGCTGGGTGCCTCTTAAAGTTGACAATTTTGAAAAGTTGGAGAAGGTGTATACATAAAATATATATATATATGCACTCGTCAACCCCATCACCGCCATCAGCCACCTCTAGAGGAGGCCGCGGTAGTCCATATTCTCACTCTCCACCACTGATCGCCTCCTTGTACTACCCTTCTGCACCCTCACATGCTCCTTGCCCTCAGCGGCTTATTAGGCCTCCCACATGAAAAAATAATTTTATCACTGGGCATGAAAGATCAGAAAGGGGAATTTGCAGGGAGAATGGGTTGGAAGATGCAAGAGGAGGAGGTTTGTTATGGGCATTTTAGTAATTTAGTAAGTCTGATATTTTATATTAAAAATTAATTAAATAATAAGGAATAATTTATACATTTCACAAAAAGTTGATAGGAAGTATCATTGTTGAAAAATGAGTTGAGTTTTATTTGCGTGACAATAGACAAGTATAGGGGGTGTTACTGTAATTAATCTTCTATATATATATATATATATCATGTCATTATTCGTACTCACGATATAATAAATTTGAATAAATATTTGTGTTACGTCGATTATCATAATAGTGAATTTTTTTTTTAACACATATTGACTAACAACTTTATTATTATAAAGTTATGTCCTCATCCTTTTCTTTTCTTTTTTTATTAATGTCAAAATCTGAATTGTCAAGTCGAAACACTCCAAACTACAAAGCCATATAGGCCTATAACACACAGTCACGCGACTCACGCAACCCACTTTCTTCAAATCAAAGGTAGACTCCAAGAGACAATAATTGTTTTTTTGTTGAAAGTTTGCTTCCAATGTACTCAGCTTTATAACTCCATTGAAACTTCCATTTTTGTTTGTCTCTTTAATCCAGCAAACAGACTACAAGTACGCAAAGTGCAAACATGAAAAAGCCAATATGACCGGGACAGCAAAAAAAAAAACGTTACTGACGCCTGTAATAAATGCGTATCCGCTGGTTCATGACGTACTAACCGTTACCGTTGTGAATGATAATACTTACCGATATACCAGTGAGTACCGATATGGGTAGCATAGAAATCTATTATAAACCGATCAGTATCAAATTGCATGATTTTATAATAAATGTGTACGAATTTATTAATAAATATTTTATATTGCAATAACACAAAGGAAAAATAAATGTTTATTAATTACTTTGTCACATGCTCAACTGATCAATAATAAATGTTTTATATATT